ATTATTTTTTTTTTTTTTTTTTTTTCTCGGAAGGGCGAGTCGGAAGGGCAACTTGAGTCAGGAAAGGCAAACGGGCAGTTGCCCGGGCAACCAGAGCAACCCCCCTGTGCACGTCCCTGGTCTAAAACAACATGAAGCTTTTTCAGCATTTTAATGTAATTTAGGGCTTGACCAGCAGGGGGCACATTGTGACTAATTATGGGGCTTGTTAAAACCTAAACGGACCTTGTTTAGATATTAGGCACACATATGTACACAGGTGATATTACCCTTTTGATGAAATGTATAGCTTCCAAAGATGTCGGGATTAGAATGAAAGTTTGTAATTAGGTCAGTAACTGATTTGACTTTCCTGACAGCAGATGTACACTACTGTGCCAAACTCCTAGGTCGTCCTCATCTTATTAAAGCCTAAAACCTGAGACGTGTTTAGCCAGTTACAGCCTATTATAATAAGTTAGATATAATAATGTGGTTCAACAGTTTTAATTGTGCGCAATATTGTGCAAATGGTCTGATGGCTCTTGTTAAATATCAGCAGACTCCTCATTGTTGGCAATAAAATCACGAGTGTGGCTATATAGCTGCTTTCAAACTGCATTAAACTCGCTGTATGAAAGGTACGAAGCGTGAAAGGGGGGTCTGATTTGATCCACCTCTGCGCCAGGAACATGGGTAGTAACAGAGACGGAACGATGTCTGTGTGAAAAGCCACAGCCGGCATGCTGGTGTTGTGTCTGTTGGTCTTTTTCTGTCACAGCGCTGGTTCCGCAAAAATCGCATCACTATGTGAAAGCATGGTTGCGGGATTATGCTGCACGCTTTTGAATGAGCAAAATCGGCATATTGGAGATACTGGGGAAATGAAAATCATCATTTGTAGCTTAATGGATGCAGATCAAACACTGGAACACACACACACTGCAGCACATGCTATGTTGTGAGCATGTGAAACAGCCACTTTATGACCAATTTGTGGAAGTGGGGGGAAAATTCTCCCAATGTGATCAAACAACCTTCTAGGTGGGAGTCCTGCACTTTAGCAATTGAGCTAACTGAGCACCTGTCAGGATCGCTGGGAGCGCAGAGCAGGTGAGAGCCCAAATGCATGACACAGCGCTGAGATATAGTTCAAGGGTATTTAATCCAGGGCAAGACAACACAGGCATGAACCAAACTCACGAGTACAAGGAAACCGGTACATCCAAAAACCCAGAACAGGTAATGCATCAACTCGCAGAACAAACGACAACCGACTGAGCAGACATGCGACCGTGAACAGAACACCAGACATTTATACACAGGGACTAACAAGCAGGGCGGGAGCAACACAGGTGACTGGGATCAGGGTTAACGAGGCAGAGAGACAGAAGGGGAAACAGAGAGGCTGGATGGCAGGCAGATTACTGGAGGTGAGCAGACATTACACAAGTACTGAACACTGAACATATCAAGGTAAGAAGTAACAGATCAGAATAATAAAAATAACAAACTAACCCAGACACCATCAGAGATATCACCACTAAACTAACACCAACAAGGAACACAGACTGAAGATAAAACAGAACTCAGATCAGTCGTGGGCAAAGCACTACAGAAGTACACAGACCAGGAACCTGTTTCAGAAAGCAGGTTCAACAAACTCTGAGTGTAAACCTGAACTCTGGGTTGAAGAACAAGTTCAGTCAACTCTCGTATGTTGAGCCTGATTGAAGCGCGTGCGTGGGGATGAAAAAAAGCCTCCGATACTACGATTCACCATGGCAACGGGTAAATAAAGGCAGGGCCTCCATTTTAATCGGGTGGAGCTAGAAATATGAATGCTGCCAACGCGGACCCTGATTGGCTGTAAAACACAGGAGTGGAGGATCGATACGTTAACAACGTTACATTTTATACAGCGTTGCTCATTCATCATTTACCAGACTGGAATTTCCTTAATGATTGATAAAGAGCTGGAATTCTCCTCCAGCCTGTTTTAAAAAGCTACAGGCCTGTTTATCCAGCTGTAACCTGACGGGACTAAATGCCGGTGGCAATAACTGAAGATGAAAATATTAATGGAACAGATTAGACACAGTTTAGGCTCCTCATGGACCTGTGATAGTAAAGCCACAGTCCGACTCAGTGGGTCTATTAATGATTTTTTTGTAATGTAAAATGTTTCTAGGTTCAAACTGACTGTGAAGTTTAAGACGTCTATGTTACATTAATAAAATCTTGCTCATTTCGTATTTTATGAAATGCTGTTAAAACACATTCAGACTATCAGCAGATAATGAAAAACTCACTTTTAAACTACATTTATTTGTTTCAGCTGCACCACAGTCATCCTCACTCAGAAATATTCACATCATATCCAGCTGATAACTACTATAGGAATGTTCAATCAGTGCGACTACAATGTGAAAGGTCACTGTTCACTGATCAGTTCTGTACAGATTACTTTAAACTGCAGCACTGTAGCCTTAATGTCCACACAGTCACTGAGTTATAAAGGACGGTGTAGCTTATAGATTTTATTCTGTGCTGAGGATAAATTTACGATGTCCAACTCTCTGTCCATACATCGATGACAGATGTTCAAGATCATGTTTGGGTAAAAAAGAAAACGAATGGCCTATTTAGCCTGATTTCGATGTTTCTAAAGACATAATTGTGTTCCAATATGTGCTTTGATATCGACAGAATAATTGAGGAAATGAAACGTGTGTCAGACGGCAGCTTCAGGCTCCGCAGGAGGAGTCAGAGAGAAACTCAGCGTTAGTTGAAGTAAACCTCCTCCAGAGCAGGTTAGGTTCACAGCTCAACTTACTCAGAGTTTTCACTAAACCCGCTTTCTGAAACGGGGCCCAGGAGTAGACCTGAACTAAGATACAGGACTAAGAAGTAAAACTAAGACACCAAGAAGACAGACATGAGTGAAACCCAAAACACAACAGACTATAAGACAGATACTGAACTGATCAAATCATCAAAAACCCACAGAGCGCTAAACTAAACATAGCCGACAGGCAGAATGTGACAGCACCACAGGATCTGATTAAAATATTCTGCCTTATGTTCTGACTCACCCTCTAATGAATACAAACAATTGCTCCAATGCTAAACTTATATGCCAGTGCTGTAAATCATTACTTCTGCTTCTTCTTTGAATGTACAACGTAGTGATGAGCGTCTACACTGCCAAATTACAAGAAGAAGAAGAACGTAGTGACGAAACTCGCTCTGTAGCGCAAGATGGCGACGTCCATTTAAGGGGGACCCGTGGTTATGTAGATAGAATTGGCTCATTCAAAGGTAATAAAATATAATTTAAAATAATTTAAATTTAAAAAGCTGTATTTTTAAAAGAAAGACAAAGCCTTGTTATGAGCTTTGAGATGACATGTAAGCCACTTTGCGTCCGCTGTCTAGTAATTGACACAGGTGTGTCCAAATGGTTGAGACACCAGCCAGATATTGTTTTTCACTTTAGTCTTTGTTTGGTTTAAACTAAAGTCGCTTTTTATTGAATGTGTTAAAATCCGGTGAATCAAGTCTTATGTTTTCCATCTTGAAGCGTCTCCAAGCCTGAAAGCTTTGACAGCCATCAAGTCCATACACTATATCAGTCATAAATAACTATATAAATACAAAATAAAAGTTTAAATTGCACTTTAATAAATCCATCCATGTCTTTTCACTCTGTTTTATTTTTAGTAATTCTGTTTTATAAACAGACAGAAATAAAGCAGGATGACCACTGCTCCACCCGGCTTAATTTTTGCTAAGGTGCTGGAAGCATCAATGAGTCCAAACTGATAAAAGAGAGATCAACACACTTAAATCTATGCAGTTTATTAAGGTTTCGGTCTAACAGACCTTCATCAGAGCATAACTCAACATTGGATAGGCAGGCAAAAATAACCAATCACATTCCAGTCACTGGCAGTACCAACACATCTGTGCACGCCCATTTACTGTGAGTCTATGTGCAAGCCCTGATGACAGAGGCTCCACTTCCTGGGAATTGAGGTTTTGAGTACTGAATGGCGTACTGTCATGCATGCCAATAGAAGCCTTACTTGTCCCTTAATAACACAATACAATGTAATGACAAAGGAAATGGGAATTTGAGAGGGATCAGGCTTGAGCCATCATAAATCAGAAGTCCCCCAGATCTATAAGAAAAGGACTAATGGTTATCAGGTGAGGGGCGCCACAAACCATAGACCATAAACTGTACATGAGAGATGAAGAAAAGAAACATCTTGGATTACAGCACAACACATCAAAATCCACATTGAGGATTTTCCCTTGTTGTTTGGCACAATTGCCAGATGGATTATTCCCATCTTTTCCAGGAGCTAAAATATTCTGTTTAAAACCTGCCTTAATATTATCTCTGTGCCAGCGTGTTGCATAAGTTAGCAGCTCTTCTATAGACAAAGAGGGGAGGATCATTAAAATGCTGGGTATGCTAATGCCGGATCAGAGGCCAGTGTTTAAGAATAGCGTTCTGACAGAGTAACTTTTACCCTATTTTGTTTTGTAAAAGATCGTTCCAGTATTGAAATGCACTTTGGTAAGCCTCATCAATACACTGTAAAGAGTAGGCTCTGTCCCGAAAGCTCTTTTTTCATTGCAGCAGCTTATCAATTAGTTCCTCAGTAGAATGACATTTGAGCGTAAATGACTCTTGGGTAAACCGTATTGCAGAGCTCGATAAGCACTGCTGGCTAGGCAGAATGTAGTCTTATCTGTTTATTTTGAGATACGGCTGCCACTGCATAATTCCATCATATCCAATAAAGACAAATGTTTATGATCATATTCAACAGAGAACTTAAGGTCAGGGGGTTCCTGTTAGTCTTAAAAACAATGTGTGTGAAAACAAAAACATATAAATGAGCATATTCCAGTGCAAAAAGTAGAACTCATCAATGCTCCTTTACATTGTAGGAAGAAATCTCCAATGAAGGAGAAGTAGTTCAGTTTAAGGACCAAATTAGCTCACAAATAAATGGACAGGGTGGTAGTGCTTCCTCTGTGCAGATAATACTCAAGACCTCTTACAAGGAAAATCTTTGTGTAGAGGCTTTCCACATCTAAGGTGGCCAGAATAACATCATTGGGTAACTTTTTTAATGTTGATATCTATCTTTAATATATGATGGAAGCGTCTGAACAGATGGTTTAAGAAAGTGATGAAAACAGTTCATTAATAGATAATGGCTCTAGTAGAGCATCACTGATGGCTACAATAGGTTGGCCTTTGGGTTTAACCCCCCAAGTGGAGCAACTGTTGCAGGCAGCATGATAGAACTGTAAAGCTGTGACTCCCTCTCATACACTCACTCATTGCCTAGATCAGAGCTCATTAGATGCTCACATTTGGCTGCTTCAACTCAGTTTTGATTATACTGAATTCTCAGTAAGTTATTAGAATTACACAATTTGTGATTATGTCTTACATTTAACTCACTGCGCATCAGAACACTTACAATAAATTAGGTAGCCTGTATTCCAATTATTTTTAACTACCTAAAACAAGTGCATATAACCTTAAACATGTGGAGCTTCTGGTGCTGATTTCTAGCGTTGTAATACCAGTGCAAGTCAGTTACAGGTTGCTTAATTGCTTGTTAAGCTGCAGCCAATCACAACACTGCCTCCCCTCCCCCACTCATTTGCAGCCTCTTTGATCTATGCTTGAGATTAGGTGAGTGCCATGAGTAACAGATTTAATAATATAATCATAAATAAACATAAATCATGTTTGAGTAGCGTTAATGAAATATTCTGTGATGTCGCCTCAGTGACTTTAATTGGGGAGACTTGAAGTGTTGTTGTAGTGTTTGCCAACATTAGCCAACTATGTAGCAAGCTAACTCAGCAAAAATGCTGCAAATGACACCTTTTGATAGAAACATTTCTGCTGTTAAAGGTTTTAATAAATGCAGGACTGCACTCACGCCGAATGTTTCAGCAGCTCAGTTTAAAATATTTATTGACGGCAGTGAAATCTTTGTCAAGTGACAGCAAGGTCTCTGTATAAGACGTGACACCTTGCTGACATCAGCACGTGAGTTTAAAAACTGTGCTGTTCAAGCTTTCCCCCCTGGCCGGGCCCCCGACTATGAATAGACACCGACTGTAGCTACATGGTGGTGATTCTGTCGTTTGTCAGCCCTCAGTTGTAGATCCATTTGGTAAAATTTGTGGGGCAAAGAGCTGAATTTTTCCATATAAATCAGATTTATCTGAGATGCTTTTGCGTTCAGCCAAAACTGTTTCCTTTCAGTTTGGTTGTGGCACACCGTGATGAAGGATTAATAGCGCTTTATTAGGCTGGGACTCTGCCTTTCTGCAGACGAGCGCCGTCTTAAGTTTAACATAGTACATCTTATGATTAAAGCAGGGGAGGATGTCCTAAATGGCCACCTTGCATGTATTATATTTAATAGGCCTATCTTAATATTAATTGCCATTAATTTACCTCTTGCCATTAGTTATGGATATGTTATGGGTTTTTTCCCGGCGACATTGACTATCTGGGCTTCTGGCTTTGCATTTCCGGGTCTCTCATTTTCTGTCACCTTTTCAGGCTGAGGATGTTCAGACAAAATACTCCCATCAGAGGACCGAGGAGAAGGGAGCAAACAAGACTTGCAACTTTCAGAGTTGGTCTCCTCCTCCATCCTGATATGGAAACATTCCACCCACAAAAAGGTATGTTTAATTACATATGCACTGTAGTGTTTCCCACAGACAAACAACTTGGGCAGTGGGGAGGCATTTTCTATTTGACATTTTAATCACTTATTTTACAGCTTACACTATAATTGAATCTGCGCCCTTTCCCTTCAGTTCCCTTTTCCTCACGCTTGCGCACACACCTGCTGCAAACACAGCGGCGTGCCCCGCCTCTCTCCGCCTCTCTCCGCCTCTCTCCGCCTCTCTCCGCCTCTCTCCGCCTCTCTCCATCTCTCTCCCTGGATGCGTCTGCTCCGGTAACTTTTTCCACGTTTTATAAAGTCGCTAAAAAGACGGAGCTCGTCTGCTGGAATTTTCCACCCACAATTTCCTTCATAGCATCAGACGTAAAATCCAAAATGGGTCTGCCTGTAATTTACACTACTGAGTAAGGGAAACACTGCATTGTATGTTCTGAAGAGACTGCTTCACAAATACCTTGTAGTGATTTTTCTTTATGCAATTTTCATTGTAGCGGAAGCTTAGAAGAAAAGTTAAGGTGCCAGTGTCCTTGTCTGCTGAGGAGTTCAACGCTGTCCTCAGAAATGCGTTTCCAAGAGTGGGCGACACTGATTTTGAGTTGGCAAGAGTAGATTGTCATAAAGAAACCACAAGACTTCAAGTTTGTCCACTATCACCATCTGTGCTGAAAGCCAGCAGAGAGCTGAATCGATCAGCTTTATATATACTCCCAAAGGTACTGTACACTGATCATACCCTGAGCTGAATGTCGTCTTAATCATCTGAATCTGTAATGGCTCATTCCTATTGATGCGCTGGAACACCGATGCATATAACTGAACCATGTTATAGCAACTTTCACTCTACTTTTTAAAAGGAGAGTCTGGAAGAGCAGGTTGGAGAACAGCAAGATGGTTTTTGTTTGTTTGGTTTTTACCACCATCAAATCTGTAACGCAGGCATAATTTTAGCAGTATATTGTGGGCGTAAACTAGAACCCGACAAATGTATCGGCCAGCCGATCTGATCCAATTACATTTAAATTGCCGTTTATAACATCCAATATGACTATTAAAAAAAGAAGACTGAGTTAGATCACTCATGTCATGAGTGTCATAGATTGCCCACCAGGTGGCGCTTTGCAGCTCCCCTGTTAACACTGCGTCACCACAAAAACCACAAAAGAAAACATCAGCTTCATTTATAGTGAAATGAAATCTCAAAGTTGCAAGTCCTGGTTGTAGACAGTCATGTAGTATTGGAGACATTCAAGAGCAGGTCACTGTATCGTAGACGGTGTGTTTTAGAGCCATATGGTTGAGAAATGGTTTCTTGTAGCTTTGGATAGAATTAAGAGTGCTGGTAAGGGGATAAAACTAGATGTGAATATGCTGCATTGAAAATGGTCAATATGTGTAAGGTAAAATACACATGCTGCTTCTGTTTACAGATGGCTGAAAAAGTTCCACCTTCTAGCAGCAAATATTTATTGATGAGCAGTTGTTTAAATGTTCAGTTGTTGAGACCGTAATCTATTTTATTAACATAATCCAATTAGGAAAAGGTTTTAGAAAACGGCCTGTTCTAAGTGTAGTTTATACCAGAAAGCGGTCTATTATCCAAATCCTTTTCAAAATCTAAATATCAGTTCTTTTTCACTTTAAAATCTGCATTGGCCCCCAAAAACCCATATCAGTCGGGCTCTAGTGTAAACATCCAGATCAAATAAACAATACGTGTTGTTTTTGTGTCTTTAGGATGCAGAAGAGGTCTCGAACTCTGGCCAAAACCTGGACCAAGATGATATGGGCACCCATTTTAAGCTCTTTCTAGGCTTGTTGTATATTTCATAATGGCATATTGCATCTTTGGCCAACAAATGGGGCGTTCTGGTATTTTGAAGGATGTACAGGAGGTCCATACTTCACAAAACTGCCTGGAGAGACCTAATACAATGGCGAGGGATGTAAGTACAGTTATCAGCACTATCATTATCCAATTAACATTTTTTATCAAAATTATTACCCAACCAAAAGTAATTTCCTTTTGAAATGTTAAGACAAGCGATTGTTGCCATTGTAATGTAACAGTAAGCATGTTTTACAGCTCGAACGTGAATCTCATGACACAGAGAGAGTGGAAGTAGCAGATGATGATGCTGATGTAAGCTTTTGTCTTTACTAGGGACTGAATATAAAACTAATAATATAATGTTTTTACATTTTTAATGTTTCCTCTAGGATTTACATGAGTGGCGTGCACTTCACAAGACAAGATGAGGAATACATACAAAGTCTGCAAACTGAGCAGGAAAGGGTAAGCACACAGCAGTGTTTTATAAAATGTCCCCTCTTCGCCCAGGTAAAGTATGTTAAACACTTACGTTAGTGCAAGCTGTAGGCCTATATTTTGTAATGTTGTATTTAATGGTAATGTCTTTACTCAGGTGTTTGTGTTTTGTCAGGACACTCTGGTTCCTGAAGAGACCCCTCCTCAAAACATCTGATCTGGGTCCTCTGATACCACTGCTGGCTTCCTGGATTTGAGTCATGTCAAAGACACTACCGAGTAAGTGCTAGTTTCATACTTCCATTAATGGATTAAATGAGTCGCGGCCATCAGGCCAATAAAGTGCTACATACACATTTTGAATGTTGCAAGTCCCACCTGAAAAAGGTTTCTGGTGGTTGTTGTTCTAGACCAGATCTGAAAACCTTACTGACAACTCTGGCATCAAAAGTCTGGATTGGAGAGACGCCCAGCAGTAATATGATCAATGTATGCAGAGAAAACATAATGGATGGTGCCATGCGAGCCTTTACAAGAAGGAGTTTCAATCCAGAGGCCAAATTAAGCGTCATATTTATGGATGACTTCATGCAAGCAGAAGGTTCAGTGGATGAGGGGGGCCCTACACGGGGGTTTTTCCGACTGCTCTCAGAGATAGCAGCCTATTTACAGGGCCACAGTAAGAACCTGTCCCTGGACAGCCACGGTTAGTACCCACACATGCCATTAATCTAAGTCATATTCTAACAAATTGATTGTATTCCTGGCGGATTAAGATTTTAGATTTGAGTTATAAACACCTTATTCTGCAGAGATTTGCCACCTGTTAACCACTGCAAAATGTATTGTTCTACATTTCCATTATGCAGCATTACACAGAGGTCTCTACAGAACCTATGGAGTTATGATGGCTGTGGCGCTGCTGCATGGAGGAGTGTTGCCTTCTCTTTCCGGAGAGGCTCTACCAAAACCTCTGCTCTACACCCACATTACCACCCGCTCTCAAAGAGGTAGCAGATCCAGATTTGCAGTGGAAACTCAGAAAGGTATGTGAATTTTGTCTGTATTTTATTTTATTTTCTCTAAACAGTGAAAGTATCTTGAAGGCCTGCTTCTACTAATGAATTGGACGTCATAAAGATCAGTGAGGCCGGTGATATAACAGAGGCTAGAGCTGCCATTGAGGAAGCTGCAGAGAGCCTGTCCTTGTTGGGGTCCCTGAGGCGTCTCACCACCGTGGAGGGACGGGACCGGCTGGTTCAGGCTGCCACAAGTTTCTACGTGGAAGGACAAAAGAAGCCTCCCAACAGTGAGTATTGTGTATAGTCCCACACTTTATCTGTAATGCTGGCTACAAATTGTAAATTGCATTTTAACTCCTTAATTTTGTTGATGGCAGAGCTACAGTGCTTGGACCAGATTTGACTTATGTTTTGAGGAAAATGCTTGGGTGAGCTCACATCAATATTTATTGCTGGAAAAACAAACCTGCATGGTGCCACATACTGTTTAATAGAGCACTTGCTTCTGTTTGATTGGGCCCACTGCTTGACCGGTCACAATTTTGTTGTGCGACACTCCTGATTGACTTAACCTATGGAAATTGCTTGGTTCTCATCACTGGGGTGTGTTGGGCAGATGTGCTTTTTTAAATGTATTTTCCTTAACATGCTGTCGTATAAATCGTGTGTGTGAGACATGGTACCTTGCAGGACAAACATACACCTTCTAATCATTTTGGTTCTTTACAGACTTTCTGAAGGACTGAACACACTTGGTCTCCTGGACCTGATGAAAATTCACGCCAGCATCTTGAAGGAGGTGTTTTCTTCATCTGAGAGGCCTCTAAAGGCCACAGACTTGATCTCCCTGTTCCAAGTGACACTGTCCCCTCCTGGAAGCAACCGGTGGCGCCTGGAGAAGAGAGTGGAAGGGTACTGGAGAGACTTTCTTCTAGATGTGGAGGGTAAATAAAGGATTCACTCTTTTTGAGTGACTCTGACTTGCTGACACAAACCTGCAGATCATCAGATGTTAATTATTGTATTACCTCACTATTTTACAGATGGTGTGTTTGAGGTCACAATGGAGCAAATTTTGGTGTTTGCCTCTGGAGCCGACAGAGTACCCGCTCTTGGTTTTTCTCCTCACCCAACGCTGAACTTCATTCACGACGCAGGGCGGAAGTACCCTGAAGCTAACACCTGTCTTGTAAATTTGAAACTTCCTATCCATGACACTTACAGACAGTTCGCCAAGTTTATGTGCGATGGCATTATTCACGCTCCCACTTCTGGTCTGGCTTAAAGTCACTGACAGCTATTTTCATAATGGCTGAACTTTGAATGTCCTGCCTGCTAACGTTGTTCTCAGGTGATGATGTTAAGATGATTTGAGGTAATTGTCTACTTAGGTCTGTAGTTGTTGACCAGTGTGACACGTCCTAATTAAAAGCTCTGAATAATCAACCAAAGTAGATGAGGTTTGTTACAGAACTTGAGCAATGCAGTTTGAAAGTGTATCTCTACTAAGAAACTGCAGCCACGTCTCCCTATGCTGCCAGCAAGCTAACTGCTAGGTTGTAGGCCTGGTATTGTAGGAAATTGGAGATATTTTCCACGCGGCTAAGTAAATAACTGTTAAACATTTATCACTAACTACGTTTTGTAATGTACATGTTTAAGTTTAACGTTTCAGCGGACAGCTTTAGGACTGTAACACATTGGTGATTGAGTTTCCTGCCATTAACGTTATGACTTTTAATTATTATTTTCATACCGGGAAGGATTTTTATTACTTGGTAGAAACCATCGACTGTAGAGTCCCAATTAAAGACAGGACAACATTTACTGTTAATACCATGAAACTGAGTGCCAGATTCCCCAACCGGCCAACCCCTTTTTCTTTCAACCTCTCTGGCATGCTCCCATTCGATACTGATATAACGTTACATTTTAATTATTTTTAGGCGATGGAACATTAACCTTACTGACTGTGTTTTTAAATAAGGAGCATCTGTGCTGGAGGGGTTTCTGACTGCTAACTGTTAGCTGTGGTGGTGGGAGGCGGCTGGTCCGGTTTGAAACGGATCGCTGGAATGTATTTCCCCCCCACCCCTTCATAAGTCAACGTGTCGTGGAAAAACTTGTTAAGAGGGACATTGTATGAACAGGACGGGCAGCTTGTCTAGGAAGTTAGTAAATGCAGTAGCAGTTCTGGCATTAATAATGGAAGAGAAACTGCAGAAGTCCCAATGATGCGAAACTATGAAACTGTATTTTCTGTAAGATATGACACTAACTAGTTTTAATCTGGAGGTCACACGCACCCCCCCACCCATTCTGTAAAATCTCTTGCACCCAATATCGGTCAAATTAGAGCTAATATAAATCTGAATGTGCAAACTAGCCATACAGATATATGATGCTCTTGTACAACCTATAGGTGACTGTAACAATGTAGCTTCAGGTTCTACTCAGTCATGCTCCACTCACTTGTGCTCAATTGGATACAGATTGATGGGAATGTAATTAAGATTAGTTTGTCAAAAATGTCACATTTTTGTTCCTCAGACTAGAGACCCTTGAGAGGAGCATCAGATGGGCAAGAGGGAGGATTCTCCAGTTGGACGATGCAGATGAACTTCTTCCATTAGTGACTCAAGAAGGTGTTGACTTTTGCCTAGAGATTACGTCATGCATCATGGAAAGGCTTTCAAGTTTGGAGACGCTTAAAGGTGGAATTGTTTTCAACATGCGTAGTCCACAGCTTGTCGTCCTGACTTTAGATGGCTTGACTGACTGATCAGGGGGTCTGACCAGTGTGATTGTTAGTGTCTGTGATTGTACAGGTGCTTAGAAGCTATAAAAAATGACTTGACCTCAAAATAAATACCAAAGCGAAATAAAGTGTGTGAGCATGTGGTAGTAAAACTAAAACTGCTTGCCTTCTCAACTACTTACACACTGTGTTGACTTATTCATCTTAATTCATAACTAAAGGACTGCCTTTGTAGATATCTTTAACAAACAAGTACAAAAATGCTCCCAATACATATTGGCCAGGGGCTCATTACATGCCATGTTTTCGACAGTCTCTTGTAATGTGTGAGAGCCACAGGCAGTACTTCATCTCAGGCTGATCTAAATCCTGACTCTGTCCTCTACCACTTCCCTAACCATTTATAATCAAAACACTAGTGGGGTGCAGTGTACAGCTTGGACAGATAACATTACACTGTTGTGGAGGTTGACTTCAGGGAATAAAGTAAGATTATAAGATTATTGTATTGTAATGTCGTCATCATATTGTATTTTCTTTTTTCTTTCATTACTGTTTTAATGTTTTATTTCTTTAAAAGCCCTTCTAGGGACGGGTGTTAAACACTATACACACATCGGATTCCTTTATTTAGTTTATCTATGTTAGATGTATTGGTCCCTAATAAAAATAAACTGGAAAAAAATAAGACGGCTGGTCGTACCCAACCACTCGAGGGTAAGAATACCAGCGTAAGCCAATCAGGCAGCCAGCTCACCTGTGGAACAAAGAAGTCGGCTGGCCTCATCCCTCATCTGTGTGCATGATATGCAAGTTTCCTTGCACCTTTAGCAGCAAAGCAGTGGTAACTTATTACTTCATTCCTATGTTTAGACAGAAATTGTATTTGAAGGTAAACTACATTAAATGTAGAGGGTTTTTCCACAGGCTAAAAACACCAGGGTAATACACCGCCATCAACATCTCATCTCTATCCCTGCACCTGCACAACTTCACCTGTATGAGTGTAATCAAATATAGCTCTAATCATGAGAGAATGCTGCGTCCTGTCTGCTGTGTCGATTTTAAATGAGCCTTATAAAACAATAATTTGATAATAGTGGCTGACAGGCATGCATATTGGTTCATATCTGGTCATGTTCTGTTTTGGCAGCATTAGAGACCTCCGGGTATCAAGCCCCATTGGTCCGGACAGGTGATTTTGGACGATCCAGCTACCTAATCACTGAAGAACACCTGAGATTCCTGCTTTCATGTGGATTTGGAACTACGCAAATTGCTGAAATCCTGGATGTATCAGTCAGTACAGTTAAACGAAGATTGAGGTATGAACAACAGTTACAAGGCGTACACAAAATATTGTGTTCTTTTGTCAATTTATTCACTAGATTTTGTTTTCTATCTTACTATATGTTCAGTGAAATGGGTAGACTTCTCAAGCTGGCAGTGGTGTAGGTAGTAAAGTGGAATAAGCTAAAGTTCAGTATCGTAATGTAATGCATATAGGTCAGACATTAAATTTGGGTGACACACTTGGTCATTCTGAGCATGAAAACCAATGGCCATGTTCTTTACACTCCAAACCAATAGTTTGGTTTAGTTTATTATTGAGGAAAAACTTCTTGAGGATAACTTTTAAACATGTGTTTATTTTTTTCTTCAAGGTGTAGTTATTACTGAGCTGCTATTATTATTGATGCTGTTATCTTTATCAGAAGTTTGTGTAAGATGGTCACGTTCAGTAAAATGCAAATACACTCAGATTGAAATTGAGTTCTGTTCTCTCCCAGGCGCTTCAACTTGCCCTACCTGATGAGGTCTGCACGTCTTTCTAATGCAGAACTTGATGAAGTCAAGTCAAGCTGCAGTCGGTTGGAGAAAATGAAGAGATGGGAGCAAATGCTGTTTTGGCCAGACTGGCTGCTATGGCTGTTTGAGTGCAGAGGAGAAGAGTGAGAGAGAGTTTGATTGGAGTGAATCCAGAGCGTTGTCTCACCGACTGCACCGGAGAACCTACAGTGCTGCAGGACCCAACTCGCTGTGGCACATAGATGGGAACCACAAACTCATCAGGTATATGCGGATGATAAATTAGTTACAGTGAGACTAAACACTCAACTAACAGAATCATTTACAGGCCTCTTCAGTGCAAGCTTTTCACTTTAAGAGTGAATATTCTGCGGGAAACACTGCATTATGTACAAAATTGTACTTTGACTGCACCCCTATATTTTTGGCAGGGGTAAGCATAGTATCCTGAATTTATTAATGTAATCTTAACACAGAATAACAGCTTTTTGTTTCGTTTGTAGATGGAGAATAGTGATCCATGGCGGAATCTGTGGCTTCAGCAGGCCGGTTGTGTTTTTGCAGGCTTCAGATAATAACAGAAGTTGCACAGTGTTTGACCAGTTTGTTCAAGCCACTGCTAGGTATGGAGTCTCGAATAAGGTGTGACCATGGGGGAGAAAACAATGCTGTCTGCTTGTTCATGAACATTTACCGTGGATTAGAAAGAGGAAGTGCCATCCGGGGCAGAAGTGTCCATAACCAGCGGATGGAGAGGCTTTGGGGAGATCTCTGGAGAGGTATGACTAATGTGGACCACCAGCTTTTCACCTTCCTTGAAAATGAAAGAATCATTGACTGTACCAATGAGCTGCACTTGTGGCCGCTGCATTATGTTTACCTGCCACGGATTAACCGGGACCTGGAGGTTTTCAGGCAACAACGGAACAACCGTGGCTCGCGCCCTGTTGGCCTCGCCATATCAGATATTTGTCCAAGGACGTCTTCAGAGGCAAACACAACCGCTCACAGCCATGGCAGAGATTTTTGGATCCGACACTGCTCAACAAGGGGCTGCGGCTGCAGTTCCTGTTCTGAATTGGCAAGAAAGAGTAACAGTTCCTGCTAACCGATTCGGTCCAAGCCGTGCACAGACGCGACAAGTCCAGGATGTGGACACTCTGGCGGGACCGATTGGTAGTCTAGCCATAGATAATGTTTTGGCCATGCCTCTGTATTGTTCCCTTGTTGTTTCCCAGTTAGTCTCTCCGTGTCAGCTAGAGGAGATACCGGTAGACCAGACCGCTCACCTGCTGTGGAGGGGGGAGTAATTGACCAGTTCAGCTTCAGTCTTCTTTACCCTCCTCTTGGCTCTCTTCTCCGCCTTGCATACACCCATTTATAATAACAGTGGCATTTATGCTCTTACAATCCCAACTGTTCTTCTTTTTGATGACAGTATATTTCTCTCTGTGTCTCAGGATTATACAACAGTTTCTTGCCAGTCTCTTTGCCAACTCTGGATTCCCTAGCTTACCTCCCCTCTCAAGGTAAGATTACATTATAATAGCTTCACAGTGTAAGGTCTAGTGGCAGTGTAAGCATTGTTTCTAATTAACATGTGGTGTCTGTCTCTCTCAGGACGGTATCCTGCACTCTAATCCAGGGGATAATGAATCCCTGAGGAATGAGAGGGTTAGATGCCGTGATAAAACTTTATGTCCCTGCCACCTTTTCATTTCTTTGCAGCTCACAGATGTGTTTTTGTCAGTGTAGTTACTGGGTCAGTTGCAGAACACAGGCCCTCCTCCAGCTGATAGAGAAGATCTCTCCTCTCCCATCTGTCAGTATGAAATGTGAATGGCTGCAAGACAAAATGGATAAACTGACAGCACGTGTGTCTGATTGCAGGTTTAGAGACAAAAGTGAGTGGAGCTAACTTTACGTCCTATAAATGTAGCTACATAGCATTATTAGTGACTCCTGTTGCTGCTATTTTTATTTCTGATGCTGCAGCTATTAGTATAGATGCAGATACATGTTGAACTACGCACTTTACAATGCTCCAACCACACCATGTTCACTCCGCCTTTTACTGCCACACTGACAGCTTATTGCTCGTATTTTCCTCTGCTCCTCTTGCTTTCACATTCGCTTGTCATTTTCTGCTGCCTGTCACGTAGGTTCCTTTGCAGAATGAGGAGAGGGAGCCAACTGTTAAATGTTACCGTGCTCACACTGTGCGAGTGAAAATCATTAGTTGCTTTTTTATATACAGTCTGTTAGTTGCGCATTGATAATAATAACCCTGTGAAGTATCGATTTATGTACTTATTTTCCCCACCCCTAGTAACCACAGGGGTCTTGATAAACATTTTTTCTCCTGTAGACTGCTGTGTGCAGTGTCCAGTGCACAGAGAGAACTTCGCAGTGGGAGAGCCATTCAGACAGCTGCCCTGTAACCACTTCTTTCATTCAGAATGGATAGTACCATGGCTGGAACTGGTGAGTCATAACAAAGAGAGTTGAGCTTTTGTAAAATAAACTCACAAAACAGATCCTTAATGGCATTTAATAGTTGATATGATATTCACAGTGCTCATTCAGGCATTAGGACCTAAAGGAATTTAGAACATGCTACCTGGTAGAAACATTTATGTGGGTCGACTAAAAATAAACATTTCCTATTGTTTATTGTAATGAAGTAACAGTGTTTCCCAGTGCAAATACGTGATGAATTAATGTGTTCTAGGAGAGGAATGGAGGTTAATGGCACTTACAGTAACAAACAATAAGCACGTATATATATCATTTTGCCAGCTTTACCTTTAGAATTGCCTTAAAGGAATGTGAAATTACAATCAACTAAACATTATTAGATGCTAAATGCAGAATTAGTTCACCCATGTTGAAGTTGCCCTACTATACCAGTCATTTAACATTAGCAGTGTGGGATTTTGCTGAGGTATATTTGACTTACCAGACAAAGGTCACAGAACAGCCTGAGCATCGTGTGCAATAGGACTTAAATAAGGAGTCCACTAGTTATAACTCCCCATCAGAGTATCCACCCTCTACATGGACGCCGCAAACAGGAGAGATGGTCCTTCTGAGACACCTACCTTTCTCATCCCTCGTTCTCCTCGCCAAGACACAGCGCTTGTCACGTTCTCTTTGCTATCTGTGGCAGTTATAATCATCTCAGTCTGATATTTCTTTGTATTTTTGTTTAATTTATTTAATGCCTTTCTGCACCATGTAAACAGAAACCCGTACAGACGTCCTAACAGTCGATTGAGTTCAACCCCGTGTCTTCTCTACTTGCACCTCTCAAGCAACTCCATCTGCCTTGAAATGCACCGCTGCAATACGCTATTGTGGAGAAATGCCAGACTTGATATGATACCGTGTCCTCTTTACACATCAGAAAATGTGCTAAATCCTGCAGCTGAGCCCTCAGTGGCATATGGGATGGCTGTAGGGGTTACTTTCACTCTTGGCATTTACAGGCTTTGGACCTAATGTAGCCCTGCAATAAATGTTGTGTTTTTGAAGGATATAATGATATTTTTTTGTTGAGATTAGGCAGGAAGATATTGATCTCTGGTTATTCTGCTGCTGTTTTATTGGATTGCATTATAAACCCATGGGCCAATGACGGGCAATTGATGGGGTATCTTTGAAATAAAAACCTTTCTCGTGGTTGTCTAGCTCTGTGGGTGTTTTTGATGTAGAGTCAGATGCAGATGGAAACATTGTAACGTTTCTGTTAATGAAATGACTTCAGTAGGCAGTTTAAATGGTATTCACACTGCTTTCTTGTTGCTGTATGATATATCCAGCTATATCAATTAAGACTTGGTCGATAATTAATCTTAAATGATGTTAGTTTCCCACCCCGAGCACCTGGTTAAAATCAGGACATTGTCATTATTTTACCATTTCATCAGGATTAAGGGTATAGGCTAGTCTATTATGCCCCCTGCTGGTCATAACTCTACATTCAATGAAAGAGGAAAGTTTCATGTTATTCCAATGGTCTGTATCCTAAACCAACATTTAGTGAGTACCACTGTTGTAACTGTGCAGCCACACTATTGTTGATGTAATGATATAAAACTAAAGATTGTTTTTATTGAAAGAGGCAGTAGTGGAGCAAAAGGAGGCAATTTATCTTAAATGATTTATAACGTTATAATTTAATGTCATAAAACCGCAATCCAGCTATTACATTTTATAGGTTACACACAAAAGGAAGAAAAGGACCAAGAAATAATAGGTATGTTAAATAGTGGCAGGCAAACCCCCCAGGCTTACAGAAATGGTTTAACCCTACTACTCTGCAGCCAATGGAAAAGTACAACACTCACCCCTTCAAACTGTGTAACTGGCCAAATGGCTCAGAATCGCAGGAAATCAACATGTTGACAGCACGTTATCAACATGTTATCAACACGTTATCAACATGTTATCAACATGTCATCAACACGTTATCAACATGTTATCAACATGTCATCAACACGTTATCACCATGTTATCAACACGTTATCAACATGTTATCAACATGTCATCAACACGTTATCAACATGTTATCAACATGTCATCAACACGTTATCAACATGTTATCAACACGTTAGCAACACGTTATCAACATGTTAGCAACACGTTATCAACACGTTAACACGTTAACACGTTATCAACACGTTATCAACATGTTATCAACACGTTATCACCACGTTATCACCACGTTATCACCACGTTATCACCACGTTATCACCACGTTATCAACACGTTATCAACACGTTATCACCACGTTATCAACACGTTAACACGTTATCAACAAGTTATCAACACGTTATCAACATGTTAGCAACACGTTATCAACACGTTATCAACATGTTATCAACAAGTTATCAACACGTTATCAACATGTTATCAACACTTTATCAACATGTCATCAACACGTTATCAACACGTTATCAACACGTTATCAACACGTTAACACGTTAACACGTTATCAACACGTTATCAACACGTTAGCAACACGTTAGCAACACGTTAGCAACACGTTATCAACACGTTATCAACACGTTATCAACATGTTAGCAACACGTTATCAACATGTTAGCAACACGTTATCAACACGTTAACACGTTATCAACACGTTATCAACACGTTATCAACACGTTATCAACACGTTATCAACATGTTATCAACACTTTATCAACATGTTATCAACACTTTATCAACATGTCATCAACACGTTATCAACATGTTATCAACACGTTATCAACACGTTATCAACATGTTAACATGTTATCAACATGTTATCAACATGTTATCAACACGTTATCAACACGTTATCAACACGTTAACATGTTATCAACACGATATCAACACGTTATCAACATGTTAGCAACACGTTATCAACACGTTATCAACATGTTAGCAACACGTTATCAACATGTTAGCAACACGTTATCAACATGTTAGCAACACGTTATCAACACGTTAACACGTTATCAACACGTTATCAACATGTTATCAACACTTTATCAACACTTTATCAACACGTTATCAACACGTTATCAACACGTTAGCAACACGTTAGCAACACGTTATCAACATGTTAGCAACACGTTATCAACACGTTAACACGTTAACACGTTATCAACACGTTATCAACATGTTATCAACACGTTATCACCACGTTATCACCACGTTATCAACACGTTATCAACACGTTATCACCACGTTATCAACACGTTAACACGTTATCAACAAGTTATCAACACGTTATCAACACGTTAGCAACACGTTATCAACACGTTATCAACATGTTATCAACAAGTTATCAACACGTTATCAACATGTTATCAACACTTTATCAACATGTCATCAACACGTTATCAACACGTTATCAACACGTTATCAACACGTTATCAACACGTTAACACGTTATCAACACGTTATCAACACGTTATCAACATGTTATCACCACGTTATCAACACGTCAACACGTTATCAACACGTTATCAACACGTTAACATGTTATCAACACGTTATCAACACGTTATCAACACGTTATCACCACGTTATCAACACGTTATCAACACGTTATCAACACGTTATCAACACGTTATCAACACGTTATCACCACGTTATCAACACGTTAACACGTTATCAACACGTTATCAACACGTTATCAACACGTTATCAACATGTTAGCAACACGTTATCAACACGTTAGCAACACGTTATCAACATGTTATCACCACGTTATCAACATGTTGTCAACACGTTATCAACACGTTATCAACACGTTATCAACACGTTAACACGTTATCAACACGTTATCACCACGTTATCAACATGTTGTCAACACGTTATCAACACGTTATCAACATGTTATCAACACGTAGTCAATGTGTTGTTAACACAACGCGGGAAAAATTAACAGCTTGACAAAACAACCATACGTTGTTTGCACTTTGTCCACATGTTGTCCAAAAAATCCTCCTTTATCCTGAATGAACAGAGACGAGAAGAAAGTGAATCCAGGCGCTGCGTAAAGGGGACATTTCTTGGCGCTCGTCGCTTTAACGCTCACGTTCAGCAGGTACAGGAGAGGATGCTGGGAGCTCACCAGCGTTCTCTGCCAGGATGTGTAGAAAGAGTGAGCGCTCAAGTTCAGCATGAACCACGTTATAGTTTAGATTCACGTACCTGTGAGGATCAACATCTCTGCGTCTTCCTCTGTGATGTTCGTTCCTTTCTGAAATCAGGACAAACCCAAGCGAACAAGAAGCTCGGCCAGAAACTAGGACTTGTGTTTTGAACCTCATGTAAGCTTGTTCTGTTTTTATCATTTGAGAAATCCGGCCGAGGTGAAGTCTTTCATTTCAGCCGCAGACCGATATCCTCCCTATATACCTGTCTGAGTCAGAAATCAGTTCATCGCCTACAGTTGGTCCAAAATGCTGCCGCTCGCTGCAGAAAATGTGAGCACATCAGCCCAGTGTGAGCGTCCTGCTTCCTGTTTCTTTTAGGACGCACTTTAAAATCCTTCTGATCACTTTTAAGGCCAGACATGGGCACGCACCTTCTCTGAGCTTTTATCCCCATATGAGCCAGGACGCAGACTGAGATCCTCTAGTAGGGCTCTGCTAACTGCTCCAAAGTCTAGGCTCAAAGCCAAAGGGGACAGGGTCTCTGCTGTCAGGGCCCCTACAGGCTCAGAGTCTGCTCCTGGTTTCATCTCACTTCTTAGACACATTTCTACAAAAAGCTTTCACTGTGTGACGCCTCATTTATTTTCCTTTATTGACAGATGGATTGTTTTAAAGCTCTTTGTTCCCCGTGTTGAAAAGTACTCTACAAATAAAGCTTTTATTATACAGAGGAGGTGTGCAGTGGCAACGGACCAGCAACGGACCCCTCGGCAACCGGTCCGGACCACAAGGACCGCGTGGACCACTAGTTCATATTTCTACAGACGAGACAGGAGGATGCTGGGAGAAAAGAGAGGCGGGAAGCTGAACTACCTGGTGAGGTCTGAAAATGAATCTGTGTCTGATAGATGATTCCAGCCGTCGTCGTACTTGAAACAAGTTAGCATAGCATCGCCCTGACTGAGCAGAACTCCATTTAGAAAACAAGCGTTTTAAAAGATGTTTGCTTGTCATCTTGAAGACAGACCTGACAGAGCAGGAATTCATATGTTCAACAAATCAGCATCATTTTGATCAGTTTATTGAAATGAAATCACAGCAAAATGTTTATTTTGGCTTCAAACCGCTGCAGGAAACCAGATTATTGAATTAGATCTGAGTGCATAAACAGCACTTTAATAACATAACATCTTTGAGTCCAACAGATTACTGTAAGCTTCTGATTTCCTCTGGTAACAGTTCATGACCTGTGTACTGGAACATAATGACTGCTAGTATATTGTGCTGGAGTCTACTGGTCCCTGGGTTGGTTTTACTATGTTGTCTGTTTTGTGTTGACTTGTACTGACTACAGATGAAAAACAGCCTTCTGGCTAAATCTGGCATATTTACTGAAATGTTTCAGCTTCAATGAAAAATCCAGCTTTATCTTTGAGGAATGAACAGAGACGAGAAAAACCAGAACCTGGAGGAAAGAGACTAAAGAAGTGGAGTTTCTGCTGAGTTCTGAGATCAACGTCTGAAGGACTCGGTACGCTTCAAACAAACTAGATCACGTGACGTCTGTTTATACCTGCTCCAAATGTCAACGCTGGAAGACAAAGATCACAGAGTCCAGATGTTTCAGAGGCCTGAACCAGGTCCACTGGAGGCCTCTGGGTTTAACTGCTGTGCTTTGATCCAGTGTGTAGTGAGGAGGAAGAGGCGCTGAATAAACAGGGACTACAAAAACACTACAGACCACATTTGTGTTCAGGCTGAACAAACCTTTGTTCTTGTGAAAGTCTGACTGAATCAAATCTTATTGTGTCTTCATTCTCTGAGTCCATTTTAACAGCTGGCTGCTTTCTGTTCTGTCACTAAATGTGTTGCTTTCTGTTTAACTTGCATCCTGCCAGGGTTGGTGCTGGAATAATCTGAGCTGGACACTTGAGACTTGGACTCGAGTCCTTTTCAATGTTCTCATTAAAGGAGTCGACACAAAGAGAAGCTTTGACTCTTCGTTTGAAACTGGACCTTCAATCAACTGTTTCCTTTCAACAAGATTTGTTGTGGCTTCAGAAAATGTGACAAATTGTGACGGGTCCAAAATCTAAAGACAGCAGCTTCCAGCATCTTCTAAATCCTGCTGCTGTAGAAAGTTCTGACATGTGGTTTAACTTGACTCTTAACTTCCTGTCAGTGGTTCTGATTTCCTGCAGCTGCTGACTTCTCTGTGTCTGTAGAAATAAAGTTTGTTTGACTGCACGCATTAGAACGAGCCACAAATATCCAGAGAGCCGCAGCTGTTATCCAGCCGCTGGGAGGTTCACAGGAAACACGCCCGTTCAAGCCATGTGACATCACGCTGACCTCACTCTGACATCACTGATCAGCAGGAATCAATAGTGAGTGTGTAGACTGTGTGTGAGAGTCAGTAGGAGGAGTCAGAGTGAAGAAGAAGCTGACAAAGCGTCCTCCTGTCTTCATCCGTCCTCCATCAGCTGCTTCACCTCCATTTTCTCTCTGATCCAGAGTCAGATCGGATCAATGATCAAAGATCAAACAGGTTGATCGGCCATCAGAGGAGTTGGATCAGTGGAGCTGCTTCTGTTCCTGCTTCTCTCTGCAGAGGAGACAGAGGACAGTCAGACAGAGACAAACACAGAGACTCTGACCTCAGTCTGCATACTGACCTTTGACCCTGAGATCAACTGATTTCCATCTCATGAGGACTCCCTTCTTGTCGTAGACTTTGCACCAGTATGTTCCTCCATCTCTGACTGTGGGGGATTTCAGGGTCAGACTGAGGTCTCCAGTTCTCAGCAGGTCTTCTTCATCTCTGTTCGGTCTCTGTAAACCTGGTCCTGTTGGTCAGGCTGGTCAGAGCCGTTCTGATACACGTGGACCATCTTATAGGGATCATAGCGTTCCACTCCACTGTAGCGTCCTCAGGCAGGTTGTCTGTGGTCTTGCAGGGCAGCAGGACAGACTCCGCCCCCTCCTCCACCTCCACCTGACAGACTGAGAGGACAACAAAGCAGAACATGAGCTGCACAGACAGCAGCAGCAGTTTGAATAACTTTATTGACAGAAGCAGATGAGAGCAGCAGCTAACAGGGGACAGAAACACAGGAAGCTGTTGGAGATGATCAGAGTCTTGATGCTGCTGGGATTGTTTTGTCCATGTGCTGCTTCACAGTAATGTCTCCTGTCAGTGTTGAGCTGCTGGACTTTTACATTTCTGGATCTAAAGCTGAACTTTGAAGAGAAGAAGCTTTCAAATGTTTTCATCTCTGTTCTGTAAATGAATCTCAGCTCCACATGTTCAACATCAGTCCAGAACACCGAGACACACAAACATCTGATCTGGATCTGATCCCAAACTGCTCTTCCTGCTTCATCAATATTTGGCCTTTTCTTCTGCCGACTCTGAGCCCACTTTTCTTTCCAAACGGCTTCAACATGATGTGAAGAGAACTGAGCATCAATCTTTCATTGATCCAAACTATTAAAGCTGCATTTCTTTGTTCTGAGTGATCAACACATTTGGTTTCTTTCAGCTTTCTTCTTGATCAATACTGGAAATCAATAACTTATTGATCTCATTCTTTCCATCCATGGAAATGATCTCCTGGATTATTCTGGTTTCCTGTTATGACGTCATTTCTGATCACCTGCTGAGCATTTTTACACTGAAATATTGGTCCTTTTATTTTTTAAAGTTACTTTGCTGGGCGCTGGATAAAAAAGCCAAAGCTGCAGGTTGCAAAGAGGTTGGAGAGTTTCTGACTGCATCAGTAATAATTTACAACACATTTGTCCTCCCCAACATCAGCTGCTCTCACTATCTCTGATATCTCTATATTTTTCAGATATTGTGCTACAGCTTTCTGTGTGTCCTTTACTCCGTCTCCTGTTGGGCCTAATAAACCTTCAAGGTTCACTTCCTTCCTGCCTGACTCATCTTTTGATTCAGCCTCATCCTCTCATCCCTGTATTTCCTACGTCTGATTGACTTTTGCCCATTAAAACAATGTTTTATTTAAGCCTGTATGATCAAACCTCAGCCTGGTTAAAACGCTCTCCTCTCTTCTGTTCCCTGAGCATTAATAGATTTTTACAAGCTGTAATATTTCCTTCCACTTTTATCCACATCCCAGCCGTCCTGCCATTTCTTCATGGTTTCTTTTCTGATTATCGCCTCAGCTTCTCCTTTTCCAAGGGCTGTATTTATGACATCGTTCGTCCCGGTTGATTCTTTAGCTGTTTTGTCTGCTCTCTCATTCCCTTTTATACCTACGTGGGCAGGTACCCAGCAGAATCTCACATCTATCCGTAGTGTCTGGAATCTAAATAAACTCTGTTGGATTTCTAGCATTAGATCTTCTCTATCAGATTTCATATTTTGAATACTATAAAGGGCTGCTAGAGAATCAACACAACACACCCCTCTGTCTGGTTTTACTTCCTCAACCCACTGCAGTCCTACAATAATCACCATCATCTCTGCCGTGTACACTGAAGCCTGATCAGGTCATCTTTTCCCAACGCTTACATTCATTGTTGCTATATATATTCCTATTCCTCCCTCGTCCTCTTCATCTTTAGATCAGTCTGTATACATATCTAAGTAATTGTAATATTTGCTCCTTATTATGTAGCTACCAGATAAGAAACCTTTGATCCAGTTCTACATTTTACCTCCAATACCCATTTTATCTCGCTGTATTAAAAGACCTCCTGCGCCTTCTCTATATCAAAGAAAACAGCTAGCACCCCCTCTTTATTAGCTTGAGCTTTCCTAACATCAGTTTCCAAACATATTAAAGGGTCCAGAGTACTACGCCCCCTTCTAAATCCACTCTGAAGTGCTGAAAGAAGCTCATTTCTTTCTAAGTAGTATGTTATTCTTTCTGGAATCATTTTCTCCATGGTTTTACACACATGTGAAGTTAAAGCTGTCGGTCTGTAATGATCAGGATCTGTAGGATCTTTCCCAGGTTTCTTAATCTGAATAATAATTGCTTCTTTCCACCCTACTGGAAGCTTCCCCTCCTCCCAAACCTTGTTCAATAACTCCAGTACTTTACCCAATGCAGAAGCATTTAAATGTTCTATCATAGTAAAGCTCATATTGTCTTTAGCAGGTGTCGTTCTTTTACTCTTACTCAGAGCCCTCCTCAGCTCAGGCACGGTAAAGGCCTCATCTAGAGGACTCTGATTAGAGTTTCTGTTCTCGAGTACCTCCGGGTATCTAGCTAATGTTTGCCGTCTTCTGATTTTACCTTCTTCTGTCAAATTATCTGAACTATGAATGTTTCTTGAATACAGATAACGTCAGGCTTTACATTTAACTGTTGCACATTTCTCTTAAATTCTTGTGCGTTTGCAATCAGGCTTCTGGCGTTCCACTGAAGGATAAGGAAACCCTTTATGAACTTAGTCACTAAACTGAGATGTTCCGTCATTCGGTGCTGACATTTCATGTAACATGTCTACAGTCATCTCCGTGATCCCCAAATAATCTTTTGCTGCCTCAACAATAGTCCTCAGCCTGGACCTTTTCTTTGTCTGCTGCAGCGCTACGTTCACTACCAAACCTATGAAAGCTACAAATGGAAACTTCTCCACTATCAGAGCATCGTCTTTAACTGCACACTTATGTGAACACTTTATGGCACTCGTGTTCTGCGTCTGTGGTAGTTTAGGGAAGTCCTTTGCTGAGAATCTGCTGTCACTATCAATGAGACTTGTTTTGCTGCTTCAGCGTATGATACTTTATTTTGTATCTCTGAATATCTTTTGCTCTTTTTTGAACTCCTCATCCCTGGTAAGCAGCACTATGTTCCCCCCACAGTTACAACATTTAGTTTTAGTGACTACTGCGCAGCGGCCATATTCATGTTCTCCAGCACACCCTTAGATTTACACTGATCTGCCACATGTCCGATTCTCTGACATTTAAAGCAACGTAACGGCTGAGGTACAAACTCCCTCACATTAAAGCTCATGCAGCCAATCATTACTTTCTGAGGCACGTCTCCCTCAAACTGCAGTAGGACAGACTATCAACTAATTTCCCCTGATATCTAGTAGGAAGACGCTTCACTGCCGTGACTCTGTCTCCTTTCATTTCTTTCTTCATTTCTTCAATAGCAATATCTAATGGAACTCCACTGATCGCTCCTCTAACCTTACGATTAGCCCCAGGAACGGGACTTTTAATTTGAACTTCATTCAAGGTCTTCATCTTCAGTATCTGTTGAACTCTACTGACTGCTTCAATCAACATCTTCCCTTTACTCAGAAATCTTGCTTGTCTAATGTGTCCGATCTCTTTGGAAGTTTCACTGGATGTAGTTTACTACCAGAAACTTCTCTGAACTCCATCTCCACTTTCCTCTCTCCCGTCCCGTTTGTTTTCCTCTCTTTTTTCAGTTGGTTCTGTTGTTCCGACTCACTGTGACTGGACACAGAGTTCTTCCTTCTTGGTCTCTTCCATGTTACCTCCTGCCGTTCTCCTCGCTCACCATCCCGTTCACTCGCCATACTCTCAACATTTTCAAACATTTCCACTCCCGGGCTCAAAGACGCCATCCTCCTTCTGCCGCTCTCCTCCTTTCCTGACCTTGATTTCCCATCATGCACTCCTCCAACCAATGACAGCCCACTATTAGACTCCAGCTCAATTAGCACAGTTTTACCAGTTGAACATAAAAATGCTGTTTTTAACTCAACATTATCGTGTTAGAGTTATTTATCATACAACATATAACAGTTTTTAATAAAATACATCTCCATGTTTTTACCTTGTTCATCAACATGAAATGACTTTTAATCTCAGATGAACTTCTAATGAACTCTTTTAGACTCTACTGTTTATACTGGGTTACGCTCCAGTTAAGGTTAATGATAATATTATAATCATACCGCTATCATAAAGTGAGACTGTCACCTGCTGCTGCTGATCGCTCAGAGTCCAACAGCGCAGCAGAAGCTATTTGACATTGTTTATGTAGCTAGCATAGTTTACTGATGCAGCTGCAGCTTCGGCTAACTGTCCTAATGGCTGACTAGCTGATGTTATTTTGTCAGCCTGGCGTTGGCCCTCACTGCTGTGGGTAACCTAGGTCCCTATGTATCATTATAAAATATTAAGGTGGCTTCCCTTGATACAGATGCAGCTGTATGATAAGGCCTATTATTCACCACCTGTAGCATGTTGCTAATATGAACACTTGTGTATTAAGTAAATCCATGCCGTGCATTCATTTAACAAACAGAATATTTCCCAGTCAGTTATTGTTGAAACAGTTTTGGCATTAATAATGTAATGATATCTACAGTGGGGAGAACAATATTTGATACACTGCTGATTTTGCAGGTTTTCCTACTTCCAAAGCATGTAGAGGTCTGTTATTTTTATCATAGCTACACTTCAACTGTGAGAGACGCAATCTAAAACAAAAATCCAGAAAATCACATTGTATGATTTTTAAATGATTCATTTGCATTTTATTGCATGACATAATATGATAAAAATGACAGACCTCCACATGCTTTGTAAGTAGGAACATCAGCAGCGTATCAAATACGTTTGCACTGTACTTAGAATAACTGTGTAAGTAGTAAAACAATAGAAACACACACAGGGCAGTAAAAGTGTGTTTTAAGTTTCGAAACATTTTGAGTCCCCCTCTCTTGCCTCACAGTGGTTTGGTCCTCTGCCTGCTTTCCCTCTCAGGAGTCCGGTGGCAGAAAACCAGTTTGATCCTTCAGTAGTTGTGAAACTGCAGTAATGTTAAGCAGACTGGCAGGGCTGTTTTATTCACTTTAAACATCAGATGAACTCATTCTTTAGTCTTTAATACAGATGATGCTGAGTCATTAAGAAATTAATCCTGATAACTGATCATTTTTCCACGAGCCCACGATGTTATAACATCAGCTAGCTTGTTTAGCAGCTTGTTGGACTGTAAGTCACCTTCTACAGCTAGAGATGTGCAGATTGATCAGCTGGGGACTGAAACAGGCCATTTGGTTTTCGCTTCCCTGACCAGTAACTGGGGCCGAGCAGCTGCACTGTGTCGTGTTTCATGTGTTTGCACAGACAGTAACCTCATGTCACAGCCACACACAAAGTTCTTCACTAGAGTGAAGGAGACGCAACGCTCACTATTTAGGCTACAGCACTGACCTTTGACCTCCAGCAAGACTTGTTTCTTCATCAGGATGTCTCTCTCCCTGCTGTAGACGGTGCAGGTGTAGGTGTCTCTGTCTTGTCTGTGGGGTATTTCAGGGTCAGACTGAGGTCTCCAGGTCTCTGCAGGTTTCTCTTCATCTCTGTTCGGTCTCTGTAAAAACTGATCTGTTCTTCAGGCTGGTCAGAGCCGTTCTTATATACGTGGACCATCATGTTGTCTCTGTCCCTCCACTCCACTGTGACGTCTTCAGGCAGGTGAACTGTGGTTTTGCAGGGCAGCAGGACAGACTCCACCTCTGAATCCACCTCCACCTGGTAGACTGAGAGGACAACAAAGCACAACATCAGCTGTACAGACAGCAGCAGGAACTCTGAAATATGTCCCATTGTTCCATCTAACAGAGACAGTCTTGTCTTTGGTGTCTCTACAATCAACAGCACAACTGACTGTTTATTAAATCACTGAGTATTATTGTCAGATGGACTCAATCAAATCTTTATTAAAGTTAGAATCTGAAGGTTTTCATTAAATAAATGTCTGTTCAGTCACTGTCTATCGTCTAATGAGGTAACACAGTGCTGACTGAGCCTGTGGCCCACTGATCAAAGTACTGCAGTATTTACATATCTGCAGTATTACCAAGGGAAAAACTGCAGTATTAAGTTGCTGCTAATGCAATTGAACATTTCCTGCTGCTGCATCTAACTGCTGAAACACCAGCTGACTTTTATTATGAAGGAGTCACAGGAAAATGTATTTGTCAGTGAGATTAGCTCTGAGCGTTGCTGACCTTGATTATTTTCAAGGCACTGATCTGAACCGTGATCTGCCATCCACACAGTGTGTTTAAAAGACAGACTGACTGTGACTCCTGCTGCAGTATCATCATGTGTAAAATCAGACACATGATCCATGATGATACAGAAAAACAGAAACTAATGGCAACAACAGCATGTGGTGTCTTATTAAGAGGAGCCGAGCTCCTCTGTAGTTCACACCCTGCTTGGACCACAGGCAGCTGGTAAAATACGTTTCCATAGTTTGGTAAGAGGCTTTGCTCAAATTAACCAAAAAGACATCACTAATGTTGGTTGGCACTAGCAACCTGCTGGTAACTAGTTAATAATATTTAGGCCTGTGTTAATAAAAAATTAATTATACTAACGCCTGAAGTCCCATTAAAATGACCACCTGTTTGAATATAAATAGGGACATGACTTCATATACAGTCCAGGGCGGCCAAGTAACTTTTACTCTGAGTAAATTTTAAATGAGCTTCTTTATTTGTACTTAAGTAAAAGTCCATCAAAGAAAACGTAGATTTACTTCAGTAGAATATTTTGGTCTCTTTCCATCTCTGGTTTCTTCATTTGGGATTTGTAGAACAGGATTTGTGCAACTGCAGTGAAGAACTTGAGAAGAGCAGCTGTTGTGTTTGTGGAGAGAGAAAAACTTTTTGTTTCTCTGTGACTTCAGTATCACTGAAACACATGTGGGACTAATTTCTACATCTACAGGTTCCACTGTCACAGGTGTTCAGCTGTTCTGCTTCAATAACACCTTCATATGCTGGAAGTGTAGCAGTAGCGACATACCTGACATGAAATACTGCCGGAAATGTACCAGAAGACCCCCAGCAGCAACAAGACCAACAACCAGGAGAACCAGGAGAACCAGGAGAACTTTGGCCCAGGATGGAAATCGTTCTGTGGGAACCAGAAACATAAAGAACATGACCTCTGACCTCTGACCTGTATCTACAGCAGGTGTTAGGGTTTGTTGCTGACCTTTGACCTGCAGCTGTATCTCTGTCACTCTCCGTTGTCCTCCTAACCATCTGACGGTGCAGGTGTAGCTGCCGCTGTCAGAGAGCTGGAGTTTTGTCAGGTTGAGGCTGAGGTCTCCAGTGTCCAGAGCGTCAGTCATCATGGATGTTCGGCCGCTGTAAAGCTGGTTTTGGTCTTTAAGTTCATCATCTTCCTGCTGACGCTGGTGGACGGTTGGAGGATCGAGATCGTAGCGGCTCCACACCACTGTGGGGTCGTCCATGTCAAAGGTGGGAAACTCACAGGGCAGCAGGACAAACTCCTCCCCCTCATACAGCTCCACAGCTGAGGCATGCTGGGAAACTGTGAGGTCACACAGACAGAGAGGTTCAATCACAGCAGCCTTATTTCATGTCTTATTCCTCCTGGATCCTCAGGTGACCCAGAAACCAACCTGGTCCTGTCTGTGATTGGACGCTGCAGCTGATCAGCTGCTGTGAAACCACATCAGCACAGTTTAAAACCAGCAGCAGCTGACAAATAACAGAAGCCCCTCAGCTGTCATGTTGCTCTCACTGTTTAGATGGACTCTGTTTTCTGACTCAACATGGTGTTAAAATGAGTGTGTTCACTCTCTGAACTCCTTTCCTCACATCTCTTCCTTCCATCTCTCTATCACGTCTTCAGAGGGAGTCCATAATACTCAGGGAAAAGACAGGACTGATGGACACGTGGAGACACTTCATACAGATGAGACAGACGATCCACATGTGATGCTGCTGTCAGCAGAGGATCAGTGTTACTGTTGGTGATATAACCTAGAAGACTGTGAGCAACCTACAGGGATATAATCCTGAAGACCTGAGGACAGTCTGACTGGACCGTCTTCTACATTCATGAGGATTTAAAGAAACATTAAAACATGCTGCCTTTAATATGTTGTTCATGTTGTTATTTGAAGAAAACATCGTCATGGAGCTGAAACAGACTGATGACGGAACCACAGATTAAAGAGGTGACGTTGGACTGAGGTGATGATCAGATCAGAGGGAGGAAGGTTATCTTACCGTGCACGAGGATCACAAACACCACAAACATCTTCATCTTCCTGTAGAAACTCCAACAAGAACAAAGTTAATCTGCTTCTCACTAAAGGAAGTCTTCAGAAACACAGTGAGGACATCAGTTCACAGCTAGCTGTCCCTTTCCTCTTCCTGATAATCTGCTGACTCTGTGAGGAGAAAACTGGAGTTTCACTTTAAACTGTTTCCACTGAAGCAGCTGCTGGAATGTGAAGAAACAGGCTGAGCAGCTTTCATTATTGTGACAGACAGGTGTGGCTGCTGAGCTAACTGCTAACACACCTGCTAGCAGCTAGCATGCTGCTGTTAGGCCCCTCCTCCTCACCCACCACCTGGACACCTCTGTCCATCCTGGAGGGGGACGTTCACAGACTTTCCAGGAGACAGAAGGCAGCTGGGCCAGACTCTGTCTCTCCGTCCACTGATGATGGTTTTTCACTTTAATCCTCAGAGTGGATGAAGTGATTGTGATCAGCTGTTGTGAAGTGAAACTGTGAGTTTGTCAGCTCAGAGTTCAGGTTCAGACTTTGTTAAAGCAGCTCTCTGGAATGAGTCCAGATCACCACAGATCTCTTCTGAGGAAAGAGGAGGAGCTTCAGCTTCCTCATGTTTGTCAGAGCTGTTGGTCCAGTTTCTGTCTCAGACTGACAGACAGAAAGCTGAACCTTCAGTCCTGTTGATTATCTGCACAAGAACTAAACTTCTTTATCAATCTCTAAATGACTGAAGCCGTCAGGAAACACAAGCTTTTTCTGTTCAAGAAAACATTTTAATGTCAGAGACACAAACAGCTGACAGAGATTTATGTCATTAAACACTGAAGTCAGTCCAACTTTTCATCAGTACAATAATGAAACAATAAAGAAATAAAAAGGATTTAAACTGCATTTCTTCTTCCTCATGATGTCGCTTCAAATCAGATCACATGAAACTGCATTCATTAGAATAATTTCACAATAATCAATATTAACAGATGACATGAAACACACTTCTGCCAGTTCCTCTTGTCCATCAGAGCAGAGATGTGGTTTTGTTGTGGATCAGGTCTTTCTTTAACAGGAGAAGGTTAGTATCTGCGACTAGTCGCTCTCAGCTGTTTTTGGGAGGTTCATCATTACAGACGTGAAATCTAAAGCAAACCTAATATAGCGGAGTCATACTGAGCCCTTCATAAAGTCACGCTGCAGCCGGACTCTTTCTCTGGCTCTGTGGAGAAGTTTTGGACCTGTGCTTAAACTAAACATCCAAATATGTGACAACAGGAACACTAACAACATGCTGCTCACTGATCCCTGATCACTGATAGGACAGATCAGGATGAACAGGAGTAATTACCTGTCCTTACCTGGTGACAGTAATGTGTCCAATCCAAGGACAGCCTGAAGAAGGCCATGATGCCAGAGTCTGCAGTCTCTGCTGAGCACTATTATGTTACCATCAAAGGTTGGACTTCCTGTTCACACTACAACATGTTCTCTTACTAAACATATCCTAAAGACGTGCAGCTGATGACATGTAATGACTCCTGTCCCCAAAGGGAAAGTGAGGGGCCCTCAGGGGACTTTTCTCACTGTGTGTTTGTGATTAATAAAGACAATAAAACCAACAGGTTCTCTAACAGTGTGTGGCTGTGTGCCAGAAGCCAACAGAAAACCAGAACAGCAGGACGTTCTCAGCCAAAAGACATTATTATTATTATTTAACCCAACAGGCCGACAGCTCATGGAGACAGAGTTCAAACTGTTCTCTGTGTTCAGTGAGTAAAAGAGCTTCAGTCAGCTGTGACTTGGGAACATCCTGGTTAATATCTGACATATACCAGTCTGTGATGATCCAGAAGAACTCCTCACTCTGCTGATTCTGCTCAAACACCAGCTGGAGTTTCATGTAAATGAGCTCTGCTGACCAAAAAGAAGAGTAAAACTCGTGCTGATGAGCTGGAATGAAGTTGGCTAAAAAGCTGTTAATTTATACTTCCTGTTTTATAACCAGTCAAAGCAGAGCGGACAAAAGCGTCCCGGTCGACGGGAAGATGAAATAAAAGCACAGGTTTAAAGCTGAAGGACCAAACTCCTGTTGTTGTTCTGTTTGACTTGTTGTTGTTGACGTCTCCTCATTTACCATGGAGTGATAAATCTTAGACACATCAGACTTCACTCTCTCCTCAGTCATCACACATGGAGAAAATATGGCCCCACTCTGCCACATGGGGGCGCTGTAACCAAAGTGTTTCTGCCTGCTGAATCCATCAGTCTCACAGCTTTAGATCCGTTTTCATGATGCTGAGTGGAGAAACGCTTTCTGTACATTGGAGGTTGTATTTACAGTTTTCCTCCTCAGAGAATATTCATGCTTCTCAAAATGATCCATAACTCGTCTCCTCGCAGCACCTGATGCATCTCTTGTTGTTTTCAGAAGAAGGACCAGAACAGGCTCTGCACAGCAAAACCGCAAGTGGAAATTCAGCCTGCATAGAGTTCAAATGAACACTATCCCAGTGTTTCTATAATTCTCACCAGCTCGGTGTTAAAGTTACACTTTGGACAGTGTTAATATTTGAACTCTTTTATAGTGTTACATTTCTGACACTCACAGTGTTGTTTTGTGACACATGAAAGTGTATTTGTGACACTAAACTGTGTTATTATTCCCTTTGACTTACAAAATGTGTAAAAAAAGGCTCCAGAACAGCAGAAACACCAGCACGCAGTAAATCTCTGAACTTTAGGTTAGCACATTTACAGTCAACTGTCAACAAGGATTAATAATCATTAAAACATTTTTATTCAGGAAAAAAACTTCCCAGCATCAGTCCCAGTTGGCACAATTCTGCACATTTACATAGAAAATAAAGGTCCAATATAGAGGCTGTGATCTCCACCATCAGCACTTTGTAGATGAAAAGGCTCACACATTATAAGACCGTCTGCTTTGATAAGACCTTTCTCATCACTTTCAATCACTTGGTAGGCATGGAAACGCTCACTGAAATGGTCGACCACAAGCTCGCTCACTAGGAAGTACATGACACTGTTGGCTCAAAGAATCTGATTTATTTTCATGGTCACTCTCAGTGCAGACGATAAGTCCCGCCCTGGACTCTGTCCCACTGATTTTAACCCAGGTAGCAGAGAAAATGTCTTTACCACGCGAGATTATCTCGGGCTCATCCTCACTGGAAACATTCTGGGCATCATCTTTTTCAGTCAAACACAGACGACAGAAATAACGTCCACTGAAAGACTCTGTGAAACCAAGAATGGCGTGCATGGCCGAGTTGTCCCCAGTTATCTGGCGTATAGTACCAGGGACTGTTTCAGAGGAGAAGGGCCAATCAAGGCCCCGACTCTCCAGTGTTTGATGTCATTAATTAGAGGCTGCAGAATGGGACCAAAGCCACATTTGTTCACATCTTCAGTGTGAAACAGTGCAACCAAATGAACGTTCATCACAGCAGAGGTCAATTTTGGTGGCAGATTTCTGAGGACAAAACAGAGAGCACCTGTTTGGTGAACGCCACGTTTTGAACCCAGCAGTTTCAAAGTCGTCATAGTGCATCTGAATTTGTAAAGAAGTCTGTTGTTTAGAGAACAATGGGTGTTTCTTAAAATAACTCCCATCACAAAAGTCTTCACGTCGCTCTGTTTTTGATACACAAGCAGTTCACACATTTCAGAACTGCGGCACATAAATTTGATTGTTTCCAAAATGGGAACGTAAACAAGTGTCTTTGACTGGGACTCGATCATCAGCGCCTGTTTGTTTATTTCTCCTCGTATCAAATCAAACTCCTCACATTATTTCTACAGGCTCCACAAGCCTCCATTTTTCATTGGGATATTTCCTTCTTTTAGTTTCAGTGTTAAAGCCAACAAATGGATTTTCAAAATGATCTATTGTGTCTACTAAAGTAGATCTTAGAGGATCATCTTCAGGCACAGCAGACAGTATTTCATGTTTAACTTGGGAGTGCAGTCCAGCAGCAAGCTCTTCCAAATCACTAACACCTGCTGAAACTAAACTATCTGCTGTCCCACTTCCTCGGAGTTCAGCAAGGATTGAAGCGCAAATATTTTCTTTAGGAGCTGATCCCTTGTCCTCAAAACACCTGGCCTCTGGACTCAGCGTGGCGCTTGTTTCACCAGCGTCTGTAGAATCTTGGCGACGGTGGAAATGAGCTTGAAATGACTCTGAGTTTGCTGCATCACCACTTTGAGAAAGATCCTTCTCATGAACACTGCTTAGATGTTTTTTGAAAGCCGAATATGTTGAAAACTGAGCCTACAACGTTCTGGTGCACAAAACAACTTAAACCTGGTGAGAAAATGTGCTGAACTCAGCAGTCCTTTGAAACATCTTGAAGACATCTGTGCTTTTCTGCGGCGGTTCAGGCTCTAGTTCCTGGCGATGTTGGAAGGTCACCTTCATCTTCTGAAACACACCAGCTTCATCAGGACAGTGAACCAGGAATGATTTAGCCTCCCTGCAGGCGTCTCCATCAAGCTGCTGAGCTGCTGCGGCTGCTAATCCTCGCCGTTTTGCCTTTAGCCTTGACTGGCTGTTGATGTTTATTCCTGGTCATGGTCTTAAGGCGCCGCGCTAAATATGCTGCACCTTATTGCCATCAAACCAAATATAACAAACAAAAGCCCTTTGGAGAGAAAGGATCCTTCGGCGTGATGATTCCCAGGGCGTATTTCTCCTTTTGCTTGCGGGAGGGAATCCTCCTTTAAAGCAAACACAATACAAACACATAAACTTCATGTGCTCCAGGATGAATCAGGACCCCACAGATGTTAATTAAACACATTTCATTCCCATATAAACCCTTTGAGTCTCAAACTTTTTAAAAGGTTTAGGAGCACTTACCCATCATGCATCTCAGTCACATGGCTAGCCAGTATGTTGACGAGCTGTCTCCGGGTGCGCTGCTTCAGGGAATTCTCTAACTTGTACTCTTCAAGTACATCCTCCCCTCCAGGTTTCCACCATCTGCTGACAGAAGACGGAATAGGTTTTCAGTGTAAAGTCAGTCCTCCAGATCAAATCATTTGAACAACAGTATAGCAAACATTGGTAAGGCTGAAAGTAATTCACTCTATCAGAGGAAGGTCAAACAGCAGCAGTGCTGCAAAAGAGAAACACCACATGTAAGGGACAACACCGTGTTAGATAATCTGTCAGGTTAAAGGCCCAAACAGACTAAATGGTCTGAAAAGAAAAGTAACACAGCAGTTAGGGCTGTTACGCTTCTGAAACTGCGACACAAAGTGACCCGCTCCCAGGACTGGCGAGCTCTCATAAAGACAGTGTAACAGTGGCGGCAGCAGCCGGTGGTCGGGTGGGGGCTGGGCAGCAGTGTATATCCTAATTGTATTGGTAGGAAGTTATTCCAGGTCATTCTCAGCCTTATTTTAGTGTCTATAGCGGCCATGTTTTGGAACCTTCCACCTGTTTTATCGTCTTCCAACTGCGTGTCACGTGATTATTTTAGTCTGAGTGATCACGCCTGCAAGTTAGACTAGTTTAATTAACCCAAGATGGATTTTAATAACAGTAATAATAATGTTAATGATGTGGAGGTCTGAACCGAACCGTGGACTTGGTGAGGTGTTTCACCCATAACAGCAGTGCAACAGGCAAAACCTGGGTTCAGTTTTGTCTTCACCAAATGAAGTTTCCTAAGTTTCTCAGCCCGTCATTCACAATTCTAAATGTCACAGTGCTCTCAACTTTGTGACACACTTCACTGATGACGTTATGAGTCAAGACTGTAAACATCTCCTGCTATCAAGTAGCTCTTTTGCAGCCTCTGACTCTGAAAGCTCTGCAGACCGGTTTAGGACTTCAGAGCTGGACGTGTTTCTGCCTATGGGAATCCCCCGTTCTCTTCGGCTGGAGGGTTTGGGAAGATGGTGCTGAACGATCTAAAGGAGGAAAGTCTTTACAAATAAGGACAAACATTACAAACATATATCCAGAACAAGAAGAAGAAGAAGGGACAATCACGACCAAACCAACATGTTCAAACTGTTTTCACAGCTGGACTTTGATAGTTTTTCTTCATCTACTTTGTAACAACAGTAGTCAGAAATTCAGAGACATAAAGAGACGTC